CCCAAAACACGGCCAACACGACTGGGCGTCGCCAGAAATCTAACTTTGAAGGCTGATTTCGAGGTGAAAAAAATTCGAAATCGAAAAATTTTTTTTGGAATATTTATTTATATCATCTAGAGATGCCAAAACCGTAAAAAAATTCTAGACCTGATATACACTTTAAAATATTGTTTTTTGACTTCATGCAGTTCTTTGATTGACGGTCATCGAAATGCTAGTCAGCGAACGAAACATCAAACTTCGCGGGTCCCACTTCAACGGTGATAGGAGTAAAACTCCAGAGCTGTTTATATTATGGAAGACATTAACCTTGGTGTAATGTGAGTCATTTTCCTCAAGCTGCTGATCACTAAGTAGCATTTCAGCATCTTGTCCACTAGTAGCAACTGCACTGTCTTCGTTCTCGTCTTCTTTGAAGTCAAACTGATGGAGCTCTGTCTTGATTCGAAGTTTTACTCTACAATTAGAAGACAACATATAATTTTCATGCATCAAAACTGATTTACTATTCTATAATGGCATTCGTAAACTGAATTCTAAGGAAAAGTGAACATGGTCGCACACGGTCTCGTTACATCACGCAGTCAACTTGTCCTGTGACATTTTAGCGTCGGAAGGTACATAACGAATGTTTCCCGCCGCACCGCGTATTCACACTAAGTTTTTTTTACAATGTAGAAACAGGGTAGAAACTCTCTATAAAGAGCCGGTCACAAAACCTGTAATACTTACGTGTGGAAAGGCTAGTCCACGTTAGGGAATTTATTTTTGTATGAAAAAAGAAAGAGAAATATGTCAGTTGTAGCCCTAACATCAGCCCCCCCCCGAAACGAAACTAAAGCCCCACCTAGGAGTGGAAGGGTTTCGATTAGTGATCATCCGTTGCCGCATGTTCCGTTACTGAACAATTTTGATTTTAAAAATTGCTTATCTAGTAAATTATTGTTTATACCAATTTATGTCTATTTATATCACTATAGTTGTAGCTTTCAAGGCGGGGTGACAAGGATGAACAAGACTTAAAAACAAACGCACTATTCTTTTTCAAAGGCTTTTGAAGTGGCCTAAATAATGAATTTGAAATCCATGGATAGTTTATGGATTAAACATTATTCATCAGCTTACCGTGGACACATCTCCGACTTTAATATTCATTGGTTCTTCATGGAATTGAAAGTTATCCATCGTCGTTTCCTAAAGTGAAAAAGTGAACAGGCATTTTAAGGTTGTGGTAATATTGGGAGAAAAGTGTAAAGAGAATAAAAAAAGGTTTGTCACGCCTTACAGTTTGTCGCGTAATATAAATTGTTGCAATCTGTACACAGTGGCCGATCTAGGGGGTGTAGAGGGAAAAGGGGCCCTTCTTTTTAAAGTCCCGGACACTCCAATAACATTTGCTATGCAACTTGCAATGAAACAAATCTGCTTCACAAGCAATCGTGTTATTATTATTATTTTTCCCCCCCGAACATTATCGCATAGCTCATAGTGTCATTTGTAAAACAAGTTAGCCAAAGAGTAAATGAAGAATAAAGTCATTACCTTAAATCCTGGCGGTTGGTATGTTGACGGAGTTACTGGAAAAAGTGAAATGATTGAAAATATTTGCCTTTTCTCATCATCATATAGTGAAAACTTAATTTTCCCTACTGACAAAAATTGATAGAATACAAAGAAGAACGACAACGACAAAGGATGTGGATCAAAAAAAGTTTTGAAAGAGGCACGGTTTGAATTACCAACATTAAATTATAATACACTCTACAAAATTACTCGATTCTGATTGTACAAGAGGAGTACAATTAAATTCCAAATTGTACTCTGTAGAAGCCCAATTAAGTTGCTCAATTCTTTTGAGTGTTTTATAAACAAAAAATCGCACAATCTTCTCGCACAATTCGGAATTTATTGATTCGGGATGTTTTAAAAGTTATCAAATTGATGTCGGCTCAAGGCTCGTCCAATTTTGAAAACTTTCAAAACATCACTCGTTCCTATAAATTCCGAATTGTACTCGGGATCGTCCGATTTCCTATACATATAGACCGATAAATAAATTTGAATACCTTCATCATAATATAGCAATTTCATGGTCATCAAGGCTTCGTCTGAAAAAAACATAAAGAGGTTCTATCATTCTCACTATGATATTTTTTCCTGTCTGGTATCTCAAAAATCGTAGAGTGGGCGGTATTTTCTATCTCTGACCTTGTTCCAATATTCTGGAAAACGGATTGCTAAGTAACGAAAAATAATGCAAATCAAGATAAAAATGGCTGTGCAGATAGGGCGAAACAGTGTCTCGGCATTGAAAACAGACTTCGGCCTCAAGATCTAAGGGCCACTTTTTCTAGCACTTTTTCCTCTCATTAGATAAGAGTTATTAGCAATATGTGAAAAAAATCCTCAATTGCTCGGATACGGTAGTTTATTTCTGATCAGAGCTACTAGTATAATAATCTTTGCAGTAATATGCGTAGAATATTTCAAAACTGACATAACTTACCGGGTAATGACGTTAACGTTTGAGTAAGAAGTATTATAGTCCTTAAAGAAACGAAATTATTCGAAAAGATAATACATTCTAGAGTTAGAAATAAGCAAATCAAATTAAAGAGTTCAACACAGAATCACAACAACAACAACAGCAACAACAACAACAACAGCAACAACAACAACAACAACAAAAACTGAACGAAACTGACTTTTAATTATCTATGTAATTTTGTAATTTGGAATATGCTCACCTTAACAATCTGATGGTAGCCTTTTTGGTTTCTGCTTCAGTATAGGCACTCGCAATTTTATTTCCATTTCTGTTCAAAGATTTATAGTAAAATCAAAAGGCATATAGGACTTTCTTTTGCGTAAATCTGTGCCTATTTTTATAAATATCGCAATACATGTCCTGCAATTTGAAAATACAATTCACCACTAAAACATCCCAGAAAACTGCGTATGAATGCATGTCTGCTGCTCATGGCTACTTATATATATATACCCTTACGGATGTGCTTTTCTCTAAATTTTAGAGACTATAATAGGACTTGGTATTATTTGGTTCCCGTAGATTCCAATCTTATTTGATAATAAGGTTTAATCATTTTCTTTGCTGTTTTACCTGAAGATGCTCATTCCGTCTTTATTGTAAGTAAACTGATAGATATTAAAAAGACACATTTGGTTAAAAAAAATCAAGTATACCATTTTTTCCATGATTCAAATTAAATTCATATTAAAAAAAAGTCATACAAGCAAGATGATCCTTTTAATAACTGCCATTTCAATTGACGTACAACCCGATAGTTCTAGATGACTGCAAAGTCAAGGCTTTTTWAATATATTTTCAATATTCTTCCAATAAGATTGGCACGAAAGATATGATTACCTTGAATGTATAAGACTCGACAATACTCTGTAATGAAAATGATATGAAAGATCGTTACTGTTAGACTTTACGTCATGGTCGAGCATGCGTTTTGATAAGCCGTTTAATCTTCTAAATTGTGTTTTTTTCTTCTAAAAGGGTTTGGTTAGTGTTCTCCTATGGTTCTAGACTGTACTGAAGGCTCATCGGCAGCCGGTCGGTATTAAAAACCGGGATTTAGTGGCAATTAAGGCTTTCATTGTAATTTTACACTAAGCTCTCGAACAAAGGTACAGAATCCACGTAATTCCCCTTACTCGACTGTTGACTCGGCTTACAATCATTTTTTGAGAGTGTTAAAAATACTTACATCAGGGTTTTCTGGATCCACGTAAATCTTTATCAAAACAAAAACAAAAAAAAAACAACAAAAAAACTACTTTAACTGAAATAAGCTTTAGGGAGAGTTAGTAGTGGTTAAATGTTAAAAACAGGATAGTTTTTCCTTCTAAATATCTTCCCATTTTTGACCACGTGTCACTCCTCCCTACAGTATCATTTCTTTGTTTAACGGTTGCGCACGAGAACATGAGACACAATGAGACACATGAACACTGAGGAATATGGATAAACTCGAACAAAGAATTTTATGCTCAAGGAAGTGACACGTGGTCTGAGACTATCGGAAAACATTACACTCATACTAAAGAGGTCAGATATACGCATGAAAAGATATGTCCATCAGTTGTGTCAACTTATGGGTTTGGAGCTTCTCAAAAATTTGAAAAAAATATTTTTGCGCACTAGTGTTTTGGTTGTTTAGCAAATCAGTACCATTTATGTAGTAAATAAGGAAGTGGTGAACTAACACCATGCTAAAAACACTTTTAGAATGCAAAATATGACAAAATGTACTTACCCCGACAATTATCATGCGTAACTATTAAAAAAATAACAAGAAAGAAAATTCAAGCTTTCACTAATTATATTCGACTGGAAAAAATTAAGACGATAATTAAGTAGGAAAAATAAATAAATAAACGGAAAGAAAGAAAGCGAAAAATAGAAAAAACAAAGAAAGGAGAAAACTAGGAAGAAGAAAGTAATGCAAAACATTATAACCTCAAGGGGCTTAGATTGACCACAGTAAATCCGTGAAACTTTAGTAATACGAAATAGCACAATTTCATGCAAATTCCATTGTTTTCTATTGTTTAAAACTAGCACTATTTCGTACTATTTAGTAATTAGTGTTTCACGGATTAATTGTTTGCACTCTATTAAGGAAATTATCTATATCGAAATAGTGGCGGGGGGAAAAAATCCTTAAAACGGGCTAAATTCAAAAAATAACCACGCAGAGCGAAAGAAGTGCTATTTCTTAATGATAGGGTAAAATTTCGAGGCTTTATTTCACGTTTTGATGATTTTATTGAAATTTTTGATGAATCCCCATACATTTCCTTATAACAGGACACCACAGAAACCAAGCTTGGGCTACCTGTGCTTTAAGGGAAAAAATATAAACATACGTTGTAAAAAGGATTATAACTTACATATTTCTTATCTAGTGCGTCAAAGGATCCTTTTAGCCTGCAATAACCCAAAAAATAAAAATCTTTAACTTGCCAATGCATGGGCCAATCTGTTGGCCGCTTATTGCTGTACATGTTACTACGCACATGTCATACAAACTAAAAAAACATTTCCTATAAAATATCAATTAGATTAGCTACCTAGCCCTCCCCAGCACAATTTTCTTTTCAAGGGGTAGTACGGCTGCCTCTTGCTAAAACCAACATTCTTTTTTTTCTCGGGCAGAGGGGTGGGGGGTGGATAGGTTGTAAGGCGGGGACTTAAATTTGTTTTACATCGAGATATCCTTACGAACTCAAAATTCTCAACTATTTTGTCCAAGAGTATAGACTAACTTACCACTGAATAACTTGGCATGAGCCAGGACATGCACTATCGTCTTTAAGTATCTTCAAATTAAGATCTAGGTAAATTTGAATATGACATGAATACGAATCAATACATGTACAATCATGTATAAAGTGGTTGTAGTTCAATCCCCCCTTACCTTCAAGTCTTCTGTCTCCAAATGCATGCTCAGGAAAAATTGCTCTTGCGAAGATAAAAAAATGAAATCTCCGTGACAAGGCTTATAAATCAGTCTAGCCCGTCTCTTTGTTTTTAACAATATAGGGGGAAAGTACGTTCCGAACGTGGTAGTTTTGCGCAGGATTTATTTTAATAGAACATGAATATACTTCAAGCTCAATATCAAACTGTCTATTATTAGAATTAACAACTACCTGAGATATGTTATACTCGATACCTAAAATGAAATACAAAAAATGTAACATTTCATTAATATTTTCCAATCAATACTATATAATATGGCTAATTTTAGATATATGAGGCCCTCCCAGGGGGGTTGCATGGGGCTCCCTTGTTCACTTGTAATTTTTGTGTCTACTGCATATTAATAAGCAGTTGACACTATGCCATCGAGTTTACCCAGATATACTTCATATCCTATTTAACTAGCGAAAATATAGTTCAATGACATAGTACGATATAACTGACATAAAGTTTATCCCGGTGTAAGGGTTGTAAAACTTCGGATTACTTTCGGATCCCATGTGCAAAGCGCATGGCGAGAATAATGTCAAGTGTTGTTTAATTAAAGTGCTTTCAGGTATTTGCAATATCTACAAAGAATTTATCGCAAAAAAACGACAGCTGAATTGGCGGGTTTGTGCTACACGAAGCATGTCAACAATGTTGCTTCATGAATGATTGTTACAGAAACGATGCGATGTGAAACTGACTAAGATTGTTACAGGGACAATATTTGAGCCCTTTAAAGGGATGCCTGAGCTCCGTAAGCAGAATATTAAGCCCTGAATATCTGCAAGTGAATATTCTACATATACTTGATTCAATTATGTTGCTGTGTATCTATCAGCAGTAGACGCATGTAATCATCGAGTAAGTATTTTTTCGTTTGTTTCCTTGTTCCCTACAAGTCGAAATACAAAATTTGTCAATTCGTTCCCCAAAAATATTTTCCAGTCCGTTATCCTTAGAAATCGTGCGCATGCGTTCTGTTTGGCTGTTTGAGCGGACGGTATTTGGTATTACTAACCGGGGCTATACGCCTGAGTTTTAATCAGCAACAACGAATACAACAAAATTAAGAAAAAACAAGTATATAATTTAAAAGTAGGGTAGAAAAGAAATAAGTTATTAAACTTGTTGCACGCAATATTTTTCCTGCAACAATTCCGAAGTTGACCGCGCCTTTTACTTCAGCTCTGATATCTTGTTACGATTATACTTGAAGTTGCAGGCTCATTATTAAGCAACCTCGCCGAGAAACAACTGATATTGTGCAAAATGTTGAAACATTTGCAATATTCAACTCAATACCCTATCCGGACCTTTTGGCCAGTAAATAACCTATATGTTTCGCTCAAGTAGTTTCCCTATTTGAAGGAGACTGTTCACTTGGATAACTTGCTTACGCAACTTCTTTAGACGAGACGACACTATTATTAAACCGGTACTTCATATACCGCTTTATTTGAACATGTTCGAAAGATTCAACTTTCATCATCAACCCTCGAAAACTGTTACTATATATAATACATCAGACCGCAACTATACCTCCCACTGAGTTCACTCATTCAAACTCATGACTCGTGACCTTGCAGTACAATTATGCCTGCTACTTTTAGGTAAGATACTTACAGCAACAGCCAGCAATTTCTTTACAAAAAGCGCGGATTGCTGTTCTGTAAAAAAGAAATTACAGTGACGAACAACGAAATGATCACTAACTTTTTGATAACTTGGCTCATAGATCAAGGATGTATCCAGGAAGAGGGTCTGGGGTAGCACCACCTTTTTTATTTTGATTCCATATCATCACCATCATCATCATCATCATCATCATCATCATCACCATCATTATCATCATCATTATCATCATCGTCTTCTTCATCCTTCATCATCATCATCATCATCATCATCATCTGATTATGTTATTAGCTTAATTTTCATATCATTGCAAATAGTTCGTTTAAATTTGGTTTATAATCGTAAATTGGATCTGAAAAGCCCGCTTGGGAGCATCTAATAAAGTATATCGTATTGTATTGTATTGCATTATTATTTTCACAAATTTGTAAGAGGGTACCGGGGGTGGTTCCTACATTTCTTACCTGTAACTTGTTCTGGTGGAAAAATGCTTGACCACTGCAATTAATTAACAACACCAACGACAACAACAGCAAATTAATGACCTAGTAATACTTAATAGTGCTAAATTATGATAATTCTATTGTTTTTCATTGTTTTTAAATTATTATTACAGGTTTGAACGTTCTTAGTGTCGATTAGTGTCAGTTCTTAAAGTTAAGCTTTATTGATCACAATTGAGCTTATATATTAAAATGCAAACGTAAAGGCTTTTTTGTAGCATCTCCTACATAACTAAAATAAATATTGCAAACCGTAAACCATTCAATATTCAGAAATTAAAACTTCGAGGAATTTTTTCGATTGCACTGAATGTTTTTTGAAAATGTTTTTGCAAAAATACCGATAAACCATTTCCTAATAAACTAAGTTTGACAAGCACATAATAAGCTTATACTCACGCTAACTGTTTTCGTTTGATCCCTGACCATCTGTGCTGTTCCCATGACGAATCTTTTCTATCCAACTTGATTGTCTAAGATGAATAAATGCTATAAAATTAGATTTCCTGTTATTTTCTGTCAGTATTACAACATAATATCTCTATGTTAGCTTAATAAAGCTTTATCTATCTTCACTCATTACCACTAAGTGCAGTTTCATAAAATGCCATGCACTCGTTCTAAAAAACTATTCATTCACTACAGACTAATAAGGGCCGAATTACTAAACCATAAGCAAACTTTATCAACATTTTTAATAGTACTGAACCTATAGCAAAACCAGAAATATTTTTATTTGAAAAAAATATCACAAAAATAGCCATTACAACCAGGCTAATTAAGCATAATTATAACAGTAACTAATAACTTTATAAAGTTCAAGCAAAGAATCTCCAAGAAAAGTCATAAGACATTCTTACCTTTCCCCACAAGTAAACAGAAAACAAAACCGAAATAATTTTTACTGTTTTCCTGTTCGTAATATCTTTCTAGGCAGTTTGTTTCTACAAAAGAACAACAGCAACAAAACCCGAGGCACACTGTCCTTTGGCGGGAAATGCGATGCACGCGCGCGCGGCCAGTTCCCGCCTAAAATTAACTTGTCAAAAAATACCCACAGGAAGCCCAATATAGATACAAGTACTGTAAATGAAAAATAGTTATTTTTAATTAGCAAATCGAATAGATAATGTCTTAAAAATAAGCCTTTGAAAGTAAATTCCTCGGAGAGAAAAGATAAAGAGCTAAAGAGCTGAAGAGTTATTAGTCTATATGGCAATTTTCTACAGGTTTTTACAAAAAAAATACTTTTAAAATTTTACATTTGGCGGTATACACTTTTTTGTTTTGCCGTGTACATTTTTTATTTTGCCGTGACTGCTTGAATTCGTTAGCACACTAGTTCCAAAAAAAAAAAAAAAAAAAAAAAACCTAGGCCATTCGATAACCTAGTTTCCTGTGATATTATTTGTATGATTTTAGAAGCATCTCTGCAATGTCGGTCACGTGCTTCAATATCGTGACGTTATTGGTCAACGCCTCACGCCCGTATCCGCTGTGTTTACAAGTGGTCACGCTGAATGATATGAGCAAGCGTTCTTTGAGTTAGTTTTCAAATATTCCATTTTGATTTAACTCTATTTTCCAGTATGGTTTATAAGCAAGAAAAGGGATGCTGTAATATTTCGTGCACCAAGGTTCTTTATATGTTTTTCAATGTGATTTTATTGGTAAGTTTGTCGTAGAATTTACGAACAGTTTTGTATTTTTTTGACTGCAATTTTTTTGGCTGCACACCTACTTGAATAAGCTTTTTAAAAAAATGAAAGCAAAGCCTGGAAGCAAACTTAAAATTGTAATATTAGGCATTATACAGCAACCCACCCTTACAGTAAATGTTAAAAAAGATATTAATTAATAACAGACAAATAAGGGGGACTGTCAAACGAAACCATATTATAAGCTCAGTGTTTTAAAGGTATTCTATCACAAATCCGCTAGGGTCTTCAGACCACCCTTATCAATGGTCATTCTTTTGGTTATATCATAGTTAGTAAAAACTATGGTTTTATGTATTCTTCAATTTCGTATCATTTAACGACATTTAACGAAAAAATCTGTTCAAAACTTGAACGTTGTGTAGTATGGTATAACAGTCTTGGCATTCCTTTCTAAGGCGAGTTTTGCAGGTCACGCATTCGGTGACCAGAGAATCATTGCTAGTATTTACTGATACTAAGTTCACTTTTCCTTCAGCTACGTGTATTTCTTAAATTCTGACATTTAGATTATAATTTAAAGTGCATTTTGCACGTACATGGAGAGTGGTAGCAGTATTCAGACATTTTATATCCTCAAATTTAGAGGAAACGTTTACATGTACATTATTTATAACAGCATAATGTTTGGACTGCACCCAGCAGCTCACTCAGCTATTTAGTTGTTTTCAACACAAATTGCTATGGCTGCATTCTGATAACGACTGCCACAGCTGCAGTTGAAACATCATGTTATATAATCTTTTGCAACGTGTGAAAACTGTAAAGCATATTGAGTTTCATGAATACCTCACACCAAAACCTTAGACTTTTCCAGAACTTACCTATATGACATGACTGATCACGAAACAAATGGTCCCAAGATACATGTAAGGTTGGACTTGATGTGTTTGATGCATTTCCTCTATTTATCAAGCTCAGCCTTTATCAAACTCAAATTTGGAGGTATTGTTGCATATGTTAATGTCATCCAAAAAAAAAAAAWAATGCTAAAAAAAGGAGCAAACAAAGTTTAGAAAAATTTCGCATCATTGATGCCCTTTTGCTGATGGTATATTCACATTGGCCATTTAGTGCAATTCCAGCTCGGTATGCAACATTGAATGTATAACAAAACCTTCACCAACCTATTTTGAAATAACTGCATACCTTGGATTGAGAGGGATCATGCACCAGTCTAACTGAGCACAGTTTTGTGGTATTTAAGCACAACAAAAATGTGTAGTAGGTACTGTGGTTATATGAAATTTTCTGCTATAAACTACAAAATTAATGGTATTGAGTTAATGTCCTATAGACATTACCATTTGCATTTGTTTTTACAATTTTAGATCAGTGTCATCCCAGCTTTCAGCAAATTATAGATTTCTTTGTTTCAGTTTCATCCTTGTTATAAGTTCCTTTCCCAACTGATTGCTACTGAACAAGAAACAGAGTCAGTTTAATTTCCTTCAACTGTGATTGTACAGATTAAGTGATATTGTCCAGTAAATAGGAAAACATCATTATATCCAAGCAAATTAGGTCTATAGAATAATATGTCTGAGCTTGTTGTGTAATATCCTATATTATACTGTAAGTGTAAGTATTGTTAAAATTCTCAGAATTGCATATTGTTGTTTGTTGTAAACGATAAAATTGTATTACAAGCTCATATTATTTCCTTTTGATTCCTCTAGCTGACAGGTTTGGGAATACTTGGTGTTGGTATATGGATAATAAGCTACAAGGGTGACTTTAACAGCCTCCTGACTTCAAATAATTACATCATTGTCCCTGGCTTGATGATTGCAGCAGGTCTTTTGGTTGTGTTTGTTTGTATTGTTGGCTGTGTTGCTGTTATCAAAGAAAACCGCTTCATTCTGGTTTCAGTGAGTATTTATATTATTCGAAGACTTGAGAAATATTTTCTTGAGCAGATGGTACTTAAATTAGATTTTATATAATAATTTCATTTATCTAAAGCATGAAACAAATTTGCCTTCTTTGAGGCTCATTTTTGGGAGGTCATACATATTCGGGGGAAAGGTGGTGGGCTTATTTTTGTTTGGAAATATTTGTGCAAAAAAATTAATAACGCTATTTTTTTGGTGACCTATTTAAATTTAGTATCTAATACTCTCAATTTAGTTTGTTTATACTCAAACAATTATCTAATACCTCTTCTATATGATCGCTCATGGTCACCGAATTGCTGGAATTAATAGGATCACTGCCAATCACTAAAATTTGTTTCCATAAAATCACTAAAGGTTTCACTGCTCTTTTCTAGTCCAAGGGTTATTATGGTTAGTTACAAGTAAACTATATGACACATGTGCAGTAAGAGTGTTTATTTTACATAATATTATGATATTGGCTCAGCATTGCTGTGGATTGCTCATGATCGATGGTTGAGGATTGCTAAAAGATACTGTAGAAAACACCTAGGTTTGCTGACAATTGCTGTGGATCGCTTGATCGCTGAAAATGGTTTCCATATGATTAATGGAATCATTTTCAGTGATCCGGTGACCGTGAGTAATCACAGCCAAAGTTAAATACTCTTTGTCCTCAGGACTCTCTGGCAGTTCATACCTGATCTTCTCCTATTGTTTCAAATTTAATATCTTGATAATTAATGAAAACTCTGAAATGCATGTAAAATCATGACGTTCAGTTCATAATGAATTATAATCTCAAAAATGATAAATATGTAAAATTTCACCTTCAGTGGTTAATATGTAATATAATATTTAAAACTTAAGCAATGGACATTTCAAAAATTTATGATTTTAATTAGTTTTTTTTAATAGATAATGATTATTCAGAGTATCTTAAACGCTTTTTGTCCTTTTTCCACATTAGTATATCATAATGCTGGTCCTGATATTTATTCTTGAACTTGCAACTGGAGTTGTGGCTTTTATTTATCGCAGTGAGGTAAGCAAATATAATGGACATATGTATGTACATTGTATAGTTTATTGGATTTTAACAAGTTTGTATATGGTATGTAGCAGTGGTTTCACAGAGTTTAGGGAGTTTAGTAATTTTTCCACTGGATTCCAAATATTGGAATTTAGAAAATGATTTTTGTGGAGGGAGAAAAAACCCTTGAAGCACAGGAGAAAACCAACAAGCAACTCCAATCATTTTGGTGAGAATTGAGTACTACATGTATAATCGCTGCTACAGTGCTCATGCTCCCCTACAAATTGTTATCAAATGTTCACATTTATGTTGCTTATAGATTTCAGATGAACTGCTGAAGGGAATCAGAGGCAAGATGAATGAGTATGAACTTTCTGATGATGTTACTGCTGCTATTGATAAGTTACAAATGGAGGTATGTAGAATGTCCTTTAGTATTCTATTTCCTAAATACAAAGTATTAGGCTACATGTAATTCTATTGTGAAAGCACCCCCTCTAGGTGTTTTGAGGGTTTTTGCTAGGTTCTCAATAGATCTTAATAGCTATATATCTGAATTTCAATCGTTTTTTGGGTTTACATGTAACTTTCTCTATATATGATTGGATTTAGAAATGTTGGATTGCATTGGGTAGGGTTGGGTTGG